GGGTCTGCAGCCAACCCTGACAGCAGACCCTCGAATGCAAAAGCTTCCGATAGACGCACTGTTTTCCACACTTGAAGACCCTCTTTTTACGCGAAAAAGGCCCTGCACATATGCAGACGAGATAGCCAAGCTGGGTTATTGAGACAAAACGTAGGCTTGGGGATCATCAGGACGAATTCGCTTGAAGATATTCATCAGCTGCTACAACCCAGACACAACCCATCAGACCCTAAACCCGTCACGCACAGTTTCAGTCGAAGTGGAACAGCAGAATTTTTGCTCCGCAGTGATGGAATATCTTCCTGTAAAGTTACTATAGGTCATGTGCCTATCTGCACTAGCTAAAGCAAAACAAAGCGCTGTAAAAGATACTTTTTGCCAAGCTGTCCCCAAGTGTGGAAATCTAGGAAATACTCCAGAGAGACCGAGCCAAACAAATAAATATACGAGAGCTGCCAGCTATCAGTGAGTGCTATGGATCCCAATACTGGCACCTCATCGAGAGGGATCAAATGTATTCGGTTGCCTTGAAAGGATTGCTCGAGATGTTAATTACACGCTTAAACTGTGGAAGACAAGATGGTGGCAATCATGCGCGCGTCACCCTTGGCAAAAAAATTGAGATTATCAAAGGAGCTGTGCAATGGATGTTGAAGGAAAAGTCTACATGAAACACCTCAAGAATAGAATTGCTGAGATTGGCATCATATATTTTGCGACCTGCGTCGAGGTTGTGCAGCAAAACCTAATCAACGACGTGTCATTAAGGGTTGTGGAGTATCACATTCCTTTATGTATGTGCCAGCGATCACGAATATGATGAGCCATTTTTACCTCATACTTCAGTTTTCAAGAGCGCCCACCTCAAAAATAGCTCTGTGGCCTCACTGATCCCCCAATTGATTATAAACACCGTGACCAATATTTCAGTGGTTTTCCTTCGTATTTGAAGATGACAGTCTCGCTGACCGGAACGCTTGTGTTCTTTTTGATGGACTCTCAGTGTGGAAGCAATCTTTGCACGAAAAGTCTCCTTTCACCTTGGAAAGACGAGTCTAGCGGGGGTATCTGAGACGTTTGCAACCTGTACAGTCCAGTGGAATCCACACTCCCTTTTCTCTATCATTTTCTTCTCCGGCTATCCTACTTTGATTGCGGACTGCTAATTCCGATGTTTGGCTATCGATTCGCATTACCAGAAAATTATATCACGCTCAGTTGATATGTTGTAGCCTGACAAGACTAGGTTGGACTAGACGGCTAGTTATTTCAACAGTACAACACTCGACCGAATTTTCCTTCGTTGAAAACGAACTATGCTTGAATGAAAAGCATGAAAATAATAGCCTAGTTCGCATGATATTAACTTGGTTAATGAACTGAAGAGCCCATATTTGATACATTCTAATGTAACATAGTAACATATGAATCAGCTCCCGAGGGTCGGTCAAGTGGACCCTGATCAGTAGAAGTCGTGAACCAATTCAAGTAGCGCCGGCTGCACGTAGGATCGCATTTATCACATTCAGTAAAGCCTGTCACAGCTTTGTACTAACTTTGCAGTATAATATAGTGTATCATTTGATTTATGCCTCACTAGTAGTCGCGGTCGTAGACTTTTGCGCCATTCTATAAATATTTTATCCTAAAATTGGAACCACTTCATTAGAAGATGCAGATTGATGAATTAATCCAGATATGCTCGCCCTTGTGAATAAAGCAAAAGAAATCAAATTGATTTTGTATATTTCTCAAGGCTAGTCGATCGAGTTTGGTGTCAATTTCACTTTCATTGCTAAATGTCCTCTAAGCTATCATGCGCGGAATATCCAAGGAAACCTGGAGACAAACCTGGAGACAAACCTGGAGACAAACCTGGAGGAAACAAGAAAATGAAATGTGGAACGTTGCCTGCTTCCAAAAGAGGATTTCGGATAAAGCCGATCTCCGGCAGTCAGCTTAATTTTGTTTCGTTTTGTTGCACGTCTTAGAAATGGCTAACCACAGTCTTTGTCCCATGCACACGTGTTCATAGTTCAAAGCGTTTTTGCTATTCCAGTACATTCATTTTATCGAAAGGCATTTTCGGCCTGGACCAAAGCTAGTAGTATATACGGAGATGCGATTTCTCCACACAAATTTAATTTGTTGACCTTTGTTGTTTAAACACTTTCGACACAACACTCAGTCCCTTCCGGTCCATTTGTAGTAGTCAGTTGCAGAATTCAGATTATTAAGCTATATTGGAACATTGCTTTGTTCAGTTTCCTACTAATTAATAACTGTATCCTACATTTGACTTTAACTACCTGAATTCAAATATCGCTTAACTTCGGTTTTAGTGACATGGAGGAAATAGGACTGGTTTTGACTCACTAATTTTGACGTTTACAACGCTCGAATTGAACAGTCCAATTTCGTTTTCTGCCAGCATGAGAACATCATGAATTAGTCATTAAAATGACGTCAAGTTTCCCAGTTCGATCACGTTCCATACCATAAAATGTTTTTATGATGCAGTCTAAGGCTCAGCAATTCTTAAACTGAAACGTGGTAAGTTTAGCGAGAGTTTGTCCTTAAAACTTGCACTGAGTTCTGCGATGTAACTCGTGTAGCTAAAAAGAGAATACAAAAACAGAAATACGTAATGTATCTGAAACGAGTATATTTGTGATCCAATTCCGACGCTCGTCCACAGATCTGGCAGTGTATGGAAAAAAAAAGCTAAATTGTCATTGGGCATCAAGGGAATCACTGAGATATATATATTCCAGGGAAAACTTACCCGTTTGTTTGGAAGTCGACAGATTGGCGAACTTGAATAAACATGGAGGTCGATGTTGGGGTAAACTACAGTGATCCCGATCGTGTGAATAAAATAAGAGATAAAATGGTCACATTTATAATATGGGCACGTTTCCTTTTCACGTCAAACAACGTCTAAGACAGCATTTCCTGTCACGTCTGATTGAGCTATCGTGCGTTCACTTTAATATTTGAACAAAAATGTCTCGGAGCACGAATCAATTATATTGCTAGAAAAGTAATCAAGTAATCTGTACGACGTTCATTCATTCTGTGGAAGGATGGTTTGAACGTTTACACTCAAATTTACCCAGTTTACGATTTCCACGCATTGCCGCCATATTGGCTCAACAACAACTAAAGAGAGCTCACGGGAATCCTTGTGAAACTTGACTAATACGCTTGACCAACTGTCAATATTGCAGGTTATTTTGTCGAGAAACATCAAGCTCGATCCAGAAAGAAAAAAAAAAAAAAACGAAAACAAATTGTCCTACATCTGAATAATTTCCCAAGAAGCGACTGAAGTCGTAAGACACTTCTTATGGTGAAATTCTGTGTAGGGTAGCCCCCGAGCGCCTACCATACCACGCTTGCCCATTCATTTGTTGATGTGCGATCAAGGCAACGTTTTCTGCGGTTTTCATTGATTCAAAGTGCGCCAATATCAAATGCCACGTGCTCTTTTATTACCATTTCAAAAATAAAAACTTCTACACTACTAAATGGTGACCCGGGCTAATTATAGCAGTGAGGTTGTTGGCTTTTTAAAAGAGTGCAAATGTTTCACAATTCAAGCGTAGGTTGGGAAACTATTACAGACATAAACAAGTATTAATTTTGCTTGATAGCGCAATAACAGCCATCATTTATCCGCACGCTATATACAACGCTGTTAAATTTCTTTCACCGTTTCACCAAAATAGCAAAACATCTCAAAATAAAATTCAAGTTGAAACCATGACATTACAACTGAATTAAATTCCACCAGTTTCACATAAATTGTGAAGCTTGCAACTTTGAACCAAGTGAACTTATTCTAAAAGGCGGTGGATTAAATGAATTAAGTATAAACAGCATGGATTTAGCGTATGTCATATAAGCCTCGTAATTTTCGTTTACTTGTGATTTCATAATTGCCTGTAAAGTCGTGATATGTCACATTAGATTGCGGCTAATATCTAAGTGTATGTGTGCAGAGAAACATGCAGTCAATATTTTTTTCAGTTTTGCGTCTGGATTAAGCCTATAAAACCCTGCTTAAGTCAGCGGTGGACTGAAAACTTACATTGAAACGTGCGGGAAAAAAAATCAAAACAGGATTACATGATTTCTAAATTGACACTTACAGTTCTCTTGAATCAAATTCAGGTCAGCAAAATCTACTGCCAGATATCAATCTTGAGACAGTACCGGCTAGGCATATATCAGATCCCAATCACATGTTAGTTTAGGATAATTGCCACGCATTTATCCATCCACCCCATGGTGTATTGTTATGGCTGGAGTTGAGCTGAATCTAATGCGCGATTTATGGTCACGTGGCAATGGCTAAATCGAAATGTCTTACGCAAAAGTTTCCCGCTCTCCCACTAACCGAGGGACGTTACTTTGACTTCACCTTGCCTTGTTACTTTCCACTAAACTCCAGCTATACAACAAACACTTAATTACTGGTCCCTTGGGAACTAACGAAACAGTTAGTTTTGTTTTTCCTCGAATCTCGATGTCTCCCGAGACGAAGTATGTGTTGGACGTCATAGTCATCTATTACGACTGTCACCACAGGCCTACGAGTTGGAATAGCTAACAAAAATTGAGCGATGACCGTTTTGGATCTTGCTGATGTTACATGGAGCAAAGACTTACAAATACGACGTTTTGAGAACGACCTTTTGTGACGTAAGTTCCCTATAGTTTCCTGAAGAATCGAATTTAGTCGGTCATTGTGTTTACTCACAGCGGAGACTCTTTCATCTTAACAGCGCCATAAGTTAAATTAATTGCAAAGGAAATGTTAAATTCAAAGGTTCGTACACGTTGACCTAAAGCTGAACTCAGGCATTTCTGTCGATTAGGTTACGATTTTAAGATGAGTTTGTACGCTACAAAATGGCCTATTTGTCTTGTTAAACCGGACTAAATAGCATCTTTACTGAGAGATGCAGCGCAATTGAAAATTCTATAGTACTTACTAGTAAATTCAAAGCGACTGTCCGACTTGTAGATCGCAGAACGTTTGCAGCGTTAACGTTGAGACAATCGTCAGCATGTTTACCGTCTACCAGCTGTTTCGTGGAACCTCACTGGAAAGCGAAACATGGCAACTTCTTCCTTAGTTCCCAGTTTTGACGTCATTACGTCATGTGTGACGTAAGACTGCGGACAAGGAAACCCAACGGATGCAAGACCGGGCGCGTCTCGTGACAGACCACACGTGTTGGCTGTGGACTGTTTCAGCTTGAACTCACTCATATCCGGCGTCAAGACATTTATAAAGCTTTCTTTCCTCTTTACGTGGTCTACAAGCTATTCATCAACTGCCCAGTGATATGGAACAGTGAAACTGTCGTATCCATTTTATGCATTCAGTGATTTTTCGATTGACCTTCTTTGAGCAACTTCAAATAACATGCTAATTGCATTTATTGTCTCTTTCAACAACATTACATCATTTGTTTTTATTTGAACTGAAATCTTGTGAGCACTGCATGGCTTATCTTTATTATTTGTCGTAATATTGCGAAATTCAATCGGAAATGCCAAGAACGGTTCTCTATTTGATTCGATTCGGATCTCAGTGTAAACTTCTCTTAGCACACAACGTTTTGTCTTGTGTTGATAATTATAGCACAGAAAGAATGTTTCATGTTGATCTATCTTGTTAGCCACGAAAACTCTGCTCAGTTTCGTTGTTGTCAGTCATCTTAGCGAACCTGTCAGGTCACGTCTGTGGTTTGTGATTAACAGATTTTGATCTATTTTGGTTGGTTTTTTTTTTTCTTCAAGGTTCTTTGGTTGCCGTCGTTGATTCCAGCCAAAAATGGAATCATAAGTAATAAGGTTTTGAACTTCAGAGTTAACGTGTTATTAAAGGGGCAATTTAAAAAGTAATCGTATCTATAAAAAAATTCCCGATCGTGATTGGATCTCCGTGCACCTATTTGTCACGTAATCGGTGCCTTATCACGTGGGTGTCCAATTACTCACGCGATTACTCCCTGAATTGTACTTCACTCGGTCCAGTTACTATTATTATATATGTCACGATGTTTGAAGCCACTTTTTCTGACGGGACAAAATCAGTCTCAAATTGACAGCTATACAGTTCTTTTGATATCAGTTCTGAGAATTTGGTGTTAGATTAGCCAGTAAAACAGTATCGCTTAGCTGAGGACTTTCTTTATTCTCATCACCTGCTTGTCTGGTAATGTATTGGTATTGTAAGGAGAAATTAGATTTTAATCTTTCTAAAGCCGAAAATATAAAAGGGTGGTTACGAAAGAGGAAGATCAAGATATGGATCACAAACAAGAAACTTCAGAGAAGAATTGGATAGTTTTCAAGGTGCCTCCCTGACTTTGCTTCTTTCAAAAAAAAAAAAAAAATTAAGGGTTTTTGTAAGATCCGGTGTTTCATGTCATTGGCTTATATAGCGATAGCGGATTTGCCTAGGGTCAGAGTTTCAACAACTGTCATTACAACTCCACAACACATCCATTCCGAGGGAGGAGGGGCGGTGGTGGAGGGGTCGTCTATAGTGAAACCGTGAAATAAGATGGCACGTATCCGTCAAGCGGGCCGTGCCATTCGGCGGACAGATGAAACTGAATATAGTAAGCTAAACAATATAATGATCTCAGAGACCAGGTCAACCTTCTTATATTATGCAGAAGCAACACAACCGTAAATGATACTTGAGCAATTACACAGTCGTTTGCTCTAAAAGCAGTTCTGCCCGGAACAACATCGTTTTTGCCAGCAAGGACTTGAGTGAAGGAGAACGCCTAAAAATTCTGAGAATAAATATTTCTGAAACAAGGTCACAGCTTCTCAAACGCCCTAAAAACACACGCTCACGCAAATGAATATGCAAATAAATAATATAAAAGACGATAACAAATATTGGATTTGCAGCAGCCGGATATCCGGTAGCTATTTATATTTTGTATTTGGAAAAGGAAGCCAGAAAATGAAAATCGAAGTCAGATTTCTGTTCCTCTTGTTTAGAAAAAAGCCAAATCAAAGATATCCTGTAAAGGGAAGTCAAACTGATTTGAATTTCAGTAGCCATCCATTCTGAAGTCGAGGTTCGAATGGATGTTATGTGTATGTGTGTCTCTTTTTCCATACAAACGGTTGGCAAGGGGTGCAAAAATTATTAAATGCATATGTGGTTCACTATCAATAGATCAAGAATTGGAATTATGGATGGTCAATCTCGTAAATTCAGAACTCGTCTTTTCGAGCTGGACCGTCTATCATGGATCAGTTTTACACCCGCTAGCTGACAATTCTACCATTTCAAACTGAAATTCTGAGCTTTCAATAATTCTGATTATTTTCAGCAAAAACCTTTTAAAACAAGTGCCCAGCAAATACCACTGCAATTGCTCATCGAACTGCTGGAGAAATGAAAGCGGAAAAAATCACGGACTGAAGGCGACTTAGGGCGACTTAAATAAGCCCCAGAGTAGGCCTGCAACGAAATGAGTATGAGAGAGTTAATCTCTCTCATAGACCATATTCCTAAGCTAATCCACCCTCAAGATATTTTAAAGTCATTCCCAGTTTCGAAATTCCCAGGAGTGTCCAGAAATGGAAAATTCTATGACGTGAAGTTTGCTCGCGTGGAGAGCCCAAGTGCCTTATGCGCATTTTAAATCCTCCTCAAAAACATCCACGCAACGCGCGTGATGATGACGTTGTCCGCGGAAGAACTGGGTGTGTCTAAAAACATCTTTACTGTAATCACCTTGGGAATAACGTAACTGTTTGTCAAAGGGTATCAAGAAACGTATTATTACAATGTGGAGAACTTACTTACTCCTAGAATTTTAGCACAGAGGGCTACTAGTTTATCAGTTTACACCGTCATGTGTCACCCTCTATAAATAAAGTTGATTGATTGATTGATTGATTGATTGATTGATTAGAACAAACGATTAGTGACGCACTAGAATTCGTCAAATAAACTCTAACTTTCTGACGTCACCAGCGAACACAGAAAAATAGGATGAAATAGATATACGTAAGCCCTTTATCTTTCCCTTTATTGACGATGAAGTGCGTTACGTACGAAATAGTCAAAACAGGTGTGGAACTGAAAGGTAAAAATTAAAAAAACCAAAGCAACGGAGCACAAACTTGTAATAACTTCTTGTTGTCAGTTTTTTTTAGAACTGAGTTCCCTGTTTGTAGCTACAAAACCATGAAAATGCCGGGAGAGGTTCGGCCTGGAAGTGCCCTGTAAGTGCCCGTATACTGACTTTACTTACACTTGACTAACCAATAAATAATAAATTAACCATCAACTGCTCACTATAGAGATGGTAAATCGCGAGTAAAATAAGTATTATATTCGTCGATTTCAGTGAACCCTAGCGATTAAATCTTGAAATAAAGAATTGTTCGTCATGAATTGCGTAACCTGAAGATAGCGGCTAGTGATTGATGTTCTGGCCGTTGGTTTAGAGAATTTATTTCGTTCTTGGAAGCCGCGATCCTTTTTGTTTGCACGACGAAATTGAGACCTCTGGGAGAAATTGCAACTAAAACAACTCACCTGGTGAATAAATCGTATCGCGCGGACGCTCGGTGATCAGCGACACTTGACTTGTGCGCAGGCGATTGCGAACGCTTTATCTACTGGTCAGCAGATTTGAAAACAAAAACGTCTTACACGAAGCGAAGAAGTGACGGAAGGATCGAAGGTTGTAGTGAAATTTTTCCTTACTATACCTACAACTTGGAAATGAGCTACGTCCGGCATTTTCCAAGTTAAAAATGAACGAAAAACACTTAAATTGCAGTCGGGAATGGATATAATAAAATGTAAGAAGTTTTTACCTGACTTTTTTTAAAGTGTTAAAGACAATGTCAACGATAACTTTGTAGTTAACGTTACAGAAAGTCGACCGGACTGTGCGCGGGTTCTGGGCCGAGACTGGCTTGTAATCATTACAGAAAACAGGATCGCTGAGCATGTGTGCGTTTCCAAAAGCTTTGCCATATATGGCTTTTCTCCCGTTTTCGGGAAAAAGAAATGGCGACGTTCCGAGCATGCGTGTGCAAGTTATCCTGGGCTCTCTTTTCCCGCCTGCACAATTTCGGCTTCAATATTATCATAAACGACAGCTCTCACCGAATAGCCTTACTTCCGCATACTGACAATTAAATTACCACAAAGGAAGTACTTCGGTCTGAGGTTTACTGTGGTCAAACATATCTAACCAGCCTTTGAAGAGACTCCCAATTGGGGTATCGGGCGAAAAACAACGGTAAGCGCGAAAAAAATATTGTCAACGAGGTCAGGCGAAGCCAGCCGAAGCGGTGTCTCGGCTCACTGTCGACACTCGCCATCGTCTTGAGCTTGGCTCGCTCCGTTTTTCAGTCGATCGGAAGTAAAAATAATTTGAATATTAACATCAGAAGTAACTAGAACTTAAATCTCTCTTTTCATGGAAACAAAAAGTTGGTTTGTTATCTCTCTACCAACTGAAAGGAGTTGGCGTCGAATTAAACCCTCGACAGAGCTGAAATCTCGAGCAAGGAAGTAAGGTTCAAATAAATTACATGTAAACGTAATAAATTCAGCGCAATTCCAGTGTGGCAATCCAATTCTCAGGAACATGCACTGGGAACTTTGATGGCGGAATACTTTTTCTCCAAAACAATCGCTTCTTATGATGCATACGTATACACCCCATGTGAATTAAATCGCATTTCTTCCCGTCTATTATTGGCGCAATCTTCACGAAAAAGGAAATTCATAAGCCGATGAGGAAACCAAATGACAGATGCTTCATGAAAAGTATTAGAAGGTTTTTTTATGCGGCTGTTCTTAAAATACTGTTTTTCTTGATTTCCTATGAAAAGTAAGCTATATTTTACCAATCGTCTAGTTTAAAATGAATTAAATCTAGCGGGAGAGCTTCGAACATAATAACACTGGAAAAAACTCGTAAAGAATTGCGTTTGGGTATATTTGCATCAGAGCTGCATTCTGAACTGAAATAAACGCAGGTGAAACAATGGTAACAGAAATTTTAAAATGCTGCCGGTGACATTTCACATATTAAGTTTGACAAGACATAGCAAAGTGACCGAAGTTTCAGAAATTAACGAATGTCTAAATATCTAAATGGCTACTAATTTCTTGCGTGCGTT